TAAGGGAAAGGCACCGGGGTCATCCAGCAACCCCACAGCCAGCTCTTCCCCTGGGCGTCCCTCCGCACACGGGTCGCTCCTTCCCCTGCCTGGCTCACCACTCCTTTATCCAGGCGGTTCAGCACAAATCGGACTCTCTCTCCAGATGCTTCAACCAGGGCAAAACTAACCAAGGCGGTAGTGGCCCTGAAGTTGGGTGGATGTATGCCACCCCAGGCAACTGTCTGAAACTCTCCTCCCTGCCCAGGAATCTAAGTCCTTTGCTGTGGGGATGTTCAAAGGCCAACTCACCACTGATCAGGTGTTCCCATACCCATCCGGTAAGGGAAGGGACAGTCAGCACTGGGTGGGAACAGGGCTCCCAACAGCCTCGTCTAACCGGCCTGACCTCCCCTCACCCCATCAGTGCTCAACGAGGAGCAGACACAGTTTCTCAAAGAGCTGGTGGGACCTGTGGCCCGTTTCTTTGAGGTGAGGATTGAGTTGCATTGTCCCCGATGGAGTGGGTGATGTTTAGGAGCTTGAAAGAAACCTGGATGTGGGGTCTTTGCTTTCCCTAGGAAGTGAATGATCCTGCCAAAAATGACACGCTGGAGCAGGTGGAAGAGACCACTTTGCAAGGTCTTAAGGAGCTTGGGGCTTTTGGTCTACAAGTGCCCAGTGAGTTGGGCGGTCTGGGCCTTTGCAACACCCAGGTGAGGGGAGTCTCTTCATTACTTACAGTATCCCATCTCTAGCTTGGCTCTTTCAGCTCCTTCCTCACCCCTAGGGCCATGGCCTCTTCCAAGCAACTGTGGTGGGGGCCTTGGGAATGTCAGTTTTCCCAGCTGTGTACATAACCCTTCCGTCCAAACAAAACACAATCTACATACAGCCTCCTAAACCTTGGACCTCACTCTGCTTCCCAAGTCCCTGGGAACTGCCTGACAATAGGGTAACAGGGTCTCCAGTCATAACCCAGGAGAGACACTAGCATCTTGTGCTGGGCCCTTTTATGGTCCCACTTCCCCTCTTCACACTCACTGTGTGAAGTCAGGCCCTGCCCTCTTGCTCATAAGCGTAGGTCCAGTCAGGCCCTGCCCTCTTGCTCATAAGCGTAGGTCCCCATGCAGCCAGTTGCAGCCCCAGATGCCTGCTTCCCCTCCAGTACGCTCGCTTGGCAGAGATCGTGGGCATGCATGACCTTGGCGTGAGCGTTACCCTGGGGGCTCACCAGAGCATCGGTTTCAAAGGCATCCTGCTCTTTGGCACGAAGGCCCAGAAAGAAAAATACCTCCCCAAAGTGGCATCTGGTAAGGCAATCCTAAGAAACTGACGATTGGGGGTATCCTGATGTTGGCAGATTAGGACAGCTGGCATTTAGATCACCATATAGCTGGGCACATCACTTGGGGGAAATTTTTGGGAGGCCTCACAGTGTGCTAGAGGGGAAATCCAAAGAAACTGGATGCTGACAGAGGTATTAAGGAAGAACTGTCTGCGGGGTGGGACGCTGATGCCCATCAGGACTCCCAGTAAAGGAGCTCTCTCCCCAACAGGGGAAGCTTTGGCCGCTTTCTGTCTAACGGAACCCTCAAGTGGCTCGGATGCAGCCTCCGTCCGAAGCTCAGCTGTGCCTAGCCCCTGTGGAAAGTATTATACCCTTAATGGCAGCAAGATTTGGATCAGGCAATGTTCCATTTCTCCTCTCTTCTCCCCCTCAGCCCAATTGCAAGCCCCACTGAGCCCTCCACACTCTGAACACCCCCTCATTCTTCCACAGTAATGGGGGCCTGGCAGACATTTTCACAGTCTTTGCCAAGACACCAGTTACAGATGCAGCCACAGGCACTGTGAAGGAGAAGATGACAGCTTTTGTGGTGGAGAAGAGCTTTGGAGGTGTTACCCAGTGAGTGGATTTAGGGAGAAAGTAGAACCAAGGAGGGGCCCGGGCACTGGGTTCCAGAGCAAGTGGTTGTTACAGATCACCCTGGGGGTATATGCAAAAGCCAAAGCAAATATGCCGCATATTCCCTTTGGGAAGTGTATGTTTGGAAGTGGCCCAAAGTTTACGCTCTAGCAACGAAGTCCAACACAGGGTAACAGGACCTAGTTAGGCCTCTGTGGCCCACATGATATGCAGAAGACTGTTTGCTATATACACTTACAGTCTGGAAGTTGCAGTTCCTTCCTGTAAAAGGAATGGAGGGTCCATTTTTGTCAGTAGCACCTGTTCACTCCTTGGCTTTCTCGCCCTGCCCTGTCATAGCGGGCCCCCGGAGAAGAAGATGGGCATCAAAGCCTCCAACACAGCTGAGGTGTTCTTTGATGGAGTGCGGGTGCCTGTGGAGAATGTGCTGGGCGAGGTGGGGAGTGGCTTCAAGATTGCTGTGAACATCCTCAACAATGGAAGGTTTGGCATGGCTGCAACCCTTGCAGGCACCATGAAAGCCATCATTGCTAAAGCAGTGAGTACCCTGCCTGAATCCCTAGCTAGCCTGAATGAGTCACAGGACCCTCCTTTTCAGTGTACCCCTGTTGCCTTGTAGGCATTCCCTACACCAGAGATCCTTACCCTGCCAGCAGCTCCGAGCTTGCTAGCTTAGGTTTCCGTCAGGGTGGACTGAACTCTTGGTTGTGGCCAAAGTCCATCCCTCCAACCCAAGCCCAGCCCATCTCCTAGACAGACTGCAGAACCACAGTGGAACACATGTGCCTTTTTCCAGGTGGACCATGCTACTAATCGTACCCAGTTTGGGGACAAAATTCACAACTTTGAGCTGATCCAGGAGAAGCTGGCCCGGATGGCTATGTTGCAGTATGTGACTGAGGTAAGTGCCTCCTGCACCTCTCTCTTTTGACTCCTGTGATTTTCTTTCCAGTCGAGTCAGACTACAACCCCCAGCAGCACCTGGGGCAGTGGGTCTCCAGCTTTACACCAATGCCCTAGGGGATGCGGGGAGGCATAGTCAGCTCAGCTTCTGAAGAGGGAAAGTGATGCTGTTCTGCTAAAGTGCTTCTCAGAGATACCAGAAGTTAATTCCACCCCTACTGCCACCCCTTACCTACACCCCTTTCAAGAATTCCAGTACCTGGCAGCCCCTATGACTCAGAAGATCAGATACTTAGATGTGCCTGACGTGACCATAGAGTTAGAAGGTGAATGCAAAGGCCCTGGGAAGGAGGGTGGGCTAAGTCACACCTCATCCTGGAGATTTGAGTGTTGAGGCTGAGTCTGATGCAGCCCCTTTTCAATTTTCATTCCTTTGTCCCAACTATGCCACCTCAGTCAATGGCTTACATGCTGAGTGCCAACATGGACCAGGGATACACAGACTTCCAGGTAGAGGCCGCCATCAGCAAAATCTTTGGCTCGGTGAGGACCCAGGCACGATGGGAGGGAGAGTCCAGTTTGGAAACTCACCTCCAAAACCAGTCTCATCTAGTGTTCTCTCTCTAGGAAGCAGCCTGGAAGGTGACAGATGAATGCATCCAAATCATGGGGGGCATGGGCTTCATGAAGGTACAGGGAGGTCTTCTGCAAGGGACGGCCGGGCACAGTGGGTAAGTACCTCTCATCAGAGGCTTATGATGTGTCTTCTCTACTAGGAGGCTGGGGTAGAGCGTGTACTCCGAGATACTCGAATTTTCCGGATCTTTGAGGGGACAAATGACATTCTTCGGCTGTTTGTAGCTCTGCAGGGCTGTATGGTAAGAGGAAGAACTGGGGAGAGGGCATGGGGAGGACAGTGAGTCCCGATTATTAGACCCTCCTTTCCCACAGGACAAAGGAAAGGAACTCTCTGGGCTTGGCAATGCCCTAAAGAATCCTCTTGGGAATGCTGGCCTCCTGCTAGGAGAGGCAGGCAGGCAGCTGAGGCGGTAAGCTGTGGTGGGGTGGGAGGCTAAGAGAGGGCAGGATGGGGGCTAGGAGAGGGCAGGACAGCATTGCAGCAACTGACCAGTCATTGTCCCCTTTCCTTGCAGACAGGTAGGGCTGGGCAGTGGCCTGAGTCTCAGTGGAGTTGTCCACCCAGAGCTGAGTCGGAGCGGCAAACTGGTGAGTAGTAGGGCAGAGCCTGCAAGGGAAGGGCTGATGGGGACGGCCCCTCTGAGCCCTGTGACCCTTTCTCTTCAGGCAGTGAAGGCTCTGGAGCAGTTTGCCACTGTGGTAGAGGCCAAGCTGATAAAGTACAAGAAAGGGATTGTCAGTGAGTGCCCTCTACCCCATGTCCCCCTTACTGTGCCCTCCACCCATGTCGCTTCACTGTTCCCTCCCTCAGACTAACCCCACCCTACCCTATCTACCTGACAGATGAGCAGTTCCTGCTGCAGCGTCTGGCAGATGGAGCCATTGACCTCTACACCATGGTGGTGGTTCTTTCCAGGTGAGGAGGCAGGGTTGGTTGGAGGCTGAGCCACAGGGGAGCTGGGCCTGGCTCAGAGCCCAGGGTTATCTTCTGCTTCCTCGTATCAGGGCTTCAAGATCCTTGAGTGAGGGCCACCCTGCAGCCCAGCATGAGAAAATTCTCTGTGACAGCTGGTGTATTGAGGTGAGCCTTGGGGCTACTCAGTGTAGGTGGGGGGCTCAAGACACAAGCCTGACCCCCTTCTTCCTTCTCTCTAGGCTGCAGCCCGGATCCGGGAGACCATGGCTGCTCTGCAGTCTGACCCCCACCAACAGGAGCTCTTCCGTAACTTCAAAAGCATCTCCAAGGCTTTGGTGGAACGAGGTGGCATGGTCACCAGCAACCCCCTTGGCATCTAAATACTTCTGACCAGCACCTGGCCAGGTTATGTGCCTTCTCTGAAGCCAAAGCCCAGGCCTCCTTCCTGGAGACACTGGGTCCCCCTAAAGGGGGGGCTTTGTGATCCCAGGACTCTCAGGAACAGAAAGCATTATTTGTAAGCTGCCTCACAGACAATAAAGTTTCTCATAAGTCAGAAACTTTGCTACTGTAGCTCAGTTCTTTCCATCTGCTGCCTGCCTCCCTCCCAAAGAAAGGAGCCAGAGGTGTGGGAAGTTTGCCTCTATTGCTTTATTTGGTGTTTTATACAAATGACTAAAATAAATAAGATAACAAAGGCAGCTACACAGCCCTCAAACACCAGACACCCAATTTCCTTGGACTGCTGTCTAGGGTGCCCAGCCCTCTTCTTCCTCCCAGGGTACCACTGACCATCCCCCATACTGCAAAGGACAGACCTGACCAGGCAACTGGAGGTGATCACATTCTGGGGCTAGAAGGGGCCTAGGAAACAAGGATTCTCCATATAAAAGAGGAAGTGTCTATTAAAAAATAGCCCCAAAATGTAAGAAAGTCTATTTTACCCCCCAAAAAAGGCTTATATAAAAATAATAAAGCTAAAAGTAACCAAAGGTTCCTTATCCACCCCTGAGGGAAGGAGGAGGACCAGGCACTGCTGGTGAGTCACAGTGGCAATATCTTATGGTAGGCAGCAACTGCCGGGCCGAGCCCTGGCACTGCAAGGAGCAATGAAGATGACTGGCAAGACACCCAGTTGCAGAACAGGAGCACCAAGCGGATACAGGGCAGGCCAAGGGTGCAGACCTAACATGGCCCCACACCAGGCTCTACATAACATCCACAAAGAATTCACTGGGGTTGCCCATGGCCATATGGAAGCTTTGGCGACTGGCTGTCAGTTCTGGGGGCACAGAGCCCAGGTCTCTCACTGGAGGGGCTCCTGGGGGCTGCACTGCTGGAGGGACAGGGGGTGGGGGTGGGGGCATCATGACTACCATCATGGGGTTGTAGGGGAGAGCCATGCCAGGGGGAGGTCCATACGGATGGAGCCCTGGGTGAGCACGGAGATTAGGAGCACCCCCTGTTGAGCCCCTAGATGGAGGAGGGCCCCCATCACCACTCCCACCGGGATCCCCACCCCGCCGAAGGCTGCCTCCCCGACTGGAGGGCTCAGACTCACTGCCACTGCCAGACTTGGACTCAGGGGCCCGTTCCTCAGGCCTCCCCGTGCGCCCGGCACCCCCATCACTTCTTGTTGACCCACTGCTCCGGCTCCCTGTAGGGGTAGATGGGATGCGGCAATCGAGTCTCAGCACAGGAGCCTCTGGCTTCCCCAGTCTGCTCCAGCCTCGCCTCCCGGGTTTGCCTCCACCGTGCCCAAAACCCTGGTTGTACAGGTATCTGGGGACAACTTACCCTCACTGTGCTGGCTGCTGGCACTGCCCCCACCATAGGTGTATGACGAAAGCTCATGGTAGGGTGGGGGCTGAGGACTGTAGGGGTGTGGGGCAGGGTACTGGTAAGAGAAGGTGGGCAGCAGGGGCCATGGGGTCGCCCCAGGCAAAGGAGCTAAGGTGTCTTGGTCTGAAGCCCCACTGGAGCCATCATTGTCATTCAGAGATAGGTTGACAAGGTCTGGAAGACAGTAAGAAGTCACTGCTTTTCAGAGGCCAAGACCCCCAAGACACTGAATGGAAAGGAACTAGCAACCATTTCCCCATAGCCACGCATGATAGGACTCAAATGGGGTTACAAAAGCTTCTGACAGAAAACTGCTACTAGGTCCGGCAACAACCCATCGGCTTCTGTGGGACTCAGGAAAGGGTGCTCCTTTCCCCACAGGCACAGCTTTGCCCTGGTACACAGCTTGTTCAGTAGAACTTGGACAGACATTAGCTTACCCTGGGTTAGAATGGCATATACTCCCTCATACAGGACACAGACTACTCAACTATCCACCGTAGCCATGGCTGCAGTTTACAGGCCAGGCATGGGGTTGGAGTGGCGAGATAAGGTAGGCTGAGCTGCTTTCCCAGGGTTGGGGACTTACAATTCTCACAGCCGCCACTGAGATCCCCGAAGACATAATAACACTGCTCAGAGAAGGTGATCTTGTTCACAGTGTGTCGGATGAGGCCTGCCTTCAGCAGCCCGCTGGCATACTTTCGGGCCTCCCTTCGCTCAGGAAATCCTTCCACATGATGGTAAAGCCAGTCGACCACATCCGAGCCTGAGATTACCCACAGGAGAAGGCCTCAAATTCTCCTCCCAACTCCCACCCTCAGCCCTGCTTGTACCATTCCTAGTTTTGGTCTCCTCCCTCCCTTCCCACGCCACCTGCCCATGGCCCAAGAGTACCCAGAAAGGCATTTGGAATGGTGATCTTGAGCCACATGCGGTCCCGGACTTCCAGCCCAGACTCTGGTGCTGCCATGGCCTTAGTCACAGATGCCATGTCCATATGGATGGAGAGACCCCGGCTCTCACAGCCTGACAAGAGACAATGGAGAACTGGTAGTAGGGCCTAATCCTCCAGGGCAGGTCTGACCACTGCTGACCAGCCTTTGGGATGGGAGCTCACCATCAGGTAGAGAAGATCCAGATGTAATGGTGCTCATGGATGAGGAACCTGGATAAGCTGGAAAGGTTCCAGTCAGTGCAGCAGAGTGTGACACCCAGGCAGCAGGATCAATTGGCTGGATGGGCTCATCTGGGACAGAAAAGCCGCCAAGGTGATCACTTCTCTAAGATGAACACTCCTATTCCACTTCTCCCTTAACCCTTTCCAACCCAACCCGTCCCCCACAGCCGGGAGGCCCAGCCCCCCACCTCCCAGCTCCCCTGTTCTCTCAGCTTCAGCCCTTGCCAGAACAACACTCACTTCGGGGTAGAGTGAAGTAGGCCTGAGGAGAGGGATCCCAACACTTGGCTACCGTCAGCACGATGGGACTGTGCGGAAGAGAAAGCAGTCAAGGAGGAAGGGGAAAAGGCTTCAGAAAGGCCAAGACTTGGAACAGAATAGATTAAAACAAAGAAAAGAGGGAGAAGGAGCACATACAGGGTCTAAGAAAGTGAGGGTGAAGGGCTGCACAGTGTGGATGACTCAACTTCATGGGTAACTTCAAAACATACTGCTGAGGGGACCAAGGGAGCACAGCCTGTACAATTCAATTCACAGGATGCACAAGCAGGTAACACTGAACTATGCTGTTCCAGGGCTCACGCAGGGGTGGAATGAAACAAGTGTTTTGTTTTGTTTTGCTCTGAGACGCGATCTACTCTGTAGTCCACGACGGCCTGGATTCTGCCATCCTTCTGCACAGCCTCCTGAATACTGGGATTACAGTTGTGCTACTGCAAAGATTTCCTTGACCAAAGAAATCAAGTGGGTGATTACCTTTGGGGAAGGAAGTCAGGAGTGTGAAGGAACACTCTAGGGATAGGTTGTCCAGGTTATGGGCAATTTTCTGTTTCATGATCCAGGCAGTGGTGACAAAGGTAGTCCCTCTGTAATTACTCACTACATTATGCACTTTTGTTTCACGCACTTTGAGTGCCACACCTCACCACTTTATGATTTTACAAGAGGCCCATGTATCTGAGAATGGCTCAGAGGCTCACCCCGGCTTGTGTACAATATCCCTCAGCACCCGCACAGCATCATCATTGCTCATATTCTCGAAATTCATGTCATTCACCTGCAGTGTGAGAGAGGGATTCAGAGGCAGAGTGGGAGAAGCAGGACCCCTACCCAAGAGAGCTCCACATCCCACCCCAGCACACCTGCAGAAGCATGTCTCCTGGCTCAATACGCCCATCAGCTGCGACAGCGCCCCCCTTCATGATAGATCCAATGTAGATGCCTCCGTCACCACGTTCGTTGCTTTGGCCCACAATGGAGATGCCCAAGAAGTTGTATTTCTCTGTGGAGAGAGTCAGTGTAAGAGGGACGGTCCCAGCTACACATACCCCAGGAATTCTGGAAACCAGGTCCTCCCTCTCTGCAGCCAGGCCCCTTCATACCCATGTTGAGGGTGACTGTGATGATGTTGAGAGACATTGTGGAATCTGTGACACTGCTGAAGGACGAGGTCTGTGATGGGAAAAGGGAAAGGAGCTGAACTGCCCTTCTACATTCCACGGGTATGCCCTGGGTCTCTGTGTCCAAGGTCCACTGGTCCCATGAGAACCCCCTTACCCTCTCCATGCGAGGTGGCCGCTGTTTCCTCCGTCGCCGGTGGCGCTTGAGGAGACGGGAGGCACTGCTCTGCTCTGTGGAGCTGCTGAACCTGACAGGGGTTAGAAGCAGAGCACTTACAGGCTGAAATGGTCATAGGCCAAGGGAAATAAGAAAAAAGGGAAGTGGCCCAAAGCCCTGGGAAGAGATACGTGGAGCTATACCTGCTCATGGTGTCATCCTCGTCTGAGTCCCCCAGGCTGGTACTCTCCAGCTCACTGGTCATGAGGGTAGAGGAGCTCTCATACCCAGCCAGGTGGCGCTCCAGCCTTGAGGGGCCACTGGGCCTATGGCCCCCAGCTGCATAGGAACAAGAACCTCAGGAGCCAGCCTTCCTGCCCTTCTACTCAATCAAGGCTGGAGCCTGCATCCCCTTCCCAGCTCCCAGCCTACCCAGGCTCCAGGGCCAGGCCCTCCCTCACCGCCATGCTCACTGCTGTCTCTCCTTCGAGGCCGCTCCTGCCTCAGGGACACGACCGACTCAGTTTCTGTCTCAGGCTCCAGATTTTCATGGCTGCTGGACACATTTGGGCTAGAAGGACAGAGATTGTTTCCAACCCATGTCAGCAGAACAGGGCTCCAAATCCTTGCACTCTCCTCCCAAAGTGTTTAGATTCCTCTTCACCTCCTGCCCCTGGATTCAAGATACAGAGGACTCACTGGAAGGATGGAGGCCTAGAGTCCCCAATGCCACTGGTCCTCTCTGGTGGTAAAGCAGGTAATGGTGGGGGTGGAGGCACCAATTCTGTCCGAGGCTCATGGGCTAGAGGAGCCACCTCAGGCTGGGAGTTATCTGATGAAACCAGCTAGAAGAGTACAAAATGAGAAAACGTGGCTTCACTGGGAAGTCAGGTGTGAGAGAAGGGACTAAGGGGAAGCATCAGAAAGGGGACAGGGTCTCAGAGAACCTGGACAAAAGACAAAAAAAGGAGTAGCCAGTATGGGAGACTCTGGAAGAAGGGGAAGGGGCTCCCTACGACTGGCTCTCCAAGTAGGGACAGAAACAGAGAGCCAGGGCAGCCAATGACTGGGCAAGAGGAGAGCTACAGAAGTAGACTGGGGCTTAGAAAAACTTGAGAATGAGTCTAGGGCCCTTACCCAGGATACCACCCTTCCATTGAAGCAGGGAAGGCGGGCATTGTCATCTGAAATTTCTTCCTTCACCACTCTGCAGAGAGACATAAGAGGTCAAGGAGACTAGACTAGCCACCCCCATCCACATCCCTGTTCAAAGCTTCTTCCAATCCACCCCATGGATACTGACTTTTCTCTGCCCTGTCAGAGTCCTCTACTCTTACACTGAAACTATTCATTCTCATAGCCAAGAAATTTCTGGACTCAATTGCTCCCTTTCCTTATTTCACCTTCTCTCCCCAGGTCATCCTCAGAGGCACAATGCTGCTCCGAAGATTTGACTGATTAAAATCTCTCAGTCCAATTTCAAAGGCCATCTCCTGTGGTTATCCACCTACCTAAAATATCTAACTTACGAACCTCCCCCAGCTCCATTCATGTGCTTACACACCTGCCCCCAAAAGGCTCAGTTCTCAAAAGTCTTCACCCTTCCACTTCCCTTTAGTTTTCTCTAATTTACATCTGGAGAGCTGTCCAAATGTGTGGTCACTGCCTGAGTAAAAACACCCATTAGATGAACCAATACAGTACCTCCTCATTAGATGGAGAGCTCCCAAGAAGAGGGGAAGCTGGAATAAATCTGCACTAAGCAGTCTGCTCAGCCTACAGATCCCAAAGCCCAGTTCTGGAGTCATCTCTCTCACAAGTTCCTTGCAGTGGACTGGTCTTACCCTTTCTCAACCACTACTTCAAATTATATCTATTCTATTGAACACCATCTCCTGGGCCATCCCTGCCATTCAGTAGGCATTAATAAATATTTGTTGACTAAATAAATACATATATGAACCATGAAGCTCATTCTCAAACACAGACACACACATTCCTTTTTATGTGTTTTTGAGACAGGGTCTCACTATGCAGTTCAAGCTGGCCTTGAGCTCACTTTGTAACAACCCAGGCAACAAGTGCTGGGATTACAGGTGTGCACCACCACGCCCAGCTCACATTCCTCTTTAAATTAGGACTTTTTTTTTTTCTCACTTATGTAGTTGAGGCTGGCCTTGAACTCACTATATAGCCTAAACTAGCCTCAAACTCAAAGCAATCCTCCTGCCTCGCCCTCTTGAGTGATGGGATTACAGGCATGCACCAGAATACCCAGCAAAATTAGGACATCTTGTCAGATTAACTTTCTAGCCTAATATGGCCTGGGGACCTGATTTATGACACTTAATCCATTTGCTATCAGTGTGACAACACAGCCCAGTCACTACCAATCTGCTCAGTATAATGTACTATTCTTCCCAACAGAACTCAATCTCAGCATAGTTTAGTCAATTTCAGGTAATTCTATATCACCATACCATAATCTATGCACTAGCTGGTCTCAATACTAACAATGAAAATTACTACTCACCAAGAATTTACCATGTGCCGTGCACCCAAATTATTTTATGCTATGATTATCTCCACTTCACAGATAAGAAAATCAAAGAACCACACTGCACACAGAACTTGATTTAAATGACAAGACAGTATCACTCTCCCAATGCTGAACAATATTTTTAGTTGGAGTCCAGTCTGTTCATTTCTCCTAGTGGAGAGTGATATGGCTGTAGGGTCAGGAATCTACCTCAGGTAAGAGTCTCTTCTTCATCCAGGTGGTAAACCACCTTAGTCTCCCAACAGAACCACATCCACCCCACCTGCCAACCCAGTGTTTCCCAACTTAATCCAGCCTACCCTCAAAAACTCAGGTTCAGTACCCAGAGGGCCCAGTCCCAAAGGATACAAACACAGAAGAGTTTACTCTGCATTACTTACAGGCCAATGTAATCCGTAACGTTCCAGATTACCCCTAGGAGAGTCCAATCTATTCTAATATAGCCTACAGTGTCCCCTCAAGCAGCTGTCTGCACTGATTTAGACTATAATATCCCAATACAGTTGCCTGTGATAGTAAGCACAAACCCCAACTGCCTTATTGTCCCTGTACTGAGTGACCCAATAAAACTACGTCAGGACCCAAGAGAAAACACGTCCAAACCCAAAGAGCACAGAATGGTCCAAGTTTCTCCAGGATAATCTACTCCAAGGAAGCCTAGAACATCCCAATAGAGCCCTCTTTGCATTAGTATAGATTAGAACGTTCCAATACAACTCTGTCCACCCTAGCACAGGCCCAAATATGCCAAGTTGATCTAGCATGGTCCAAATTACATCTGGAGATTACAGGATTTCCCTAGTCTATATGGTACAGGACCGCTCAGAACATATCAAACTACCTCAGTAGAATCCGGATTGTCCTGAAACAAACCAGCGTTCCCTCATCTATTCCAGTATAATCTAATATTCTCTAGCCTGATTTAGTATAGCCCAACCTGTCCCCAAGCATAATCTATTCTGAGATGACCATTCTACCCCAGCATGGAACAATCTCTTATAGGGTGGGCCAGAAAAATCCCTGAACAGATTTATGCCTTTCAATACTGCCCACTCCAATCTAGCACAGCTCCCGTCCTTCTCACAGTATAGGCCTCGAGCTCACCCGAAATCCTGATCCATAGACTTGAAAAAGTACTTAGCGCCCGCGGGCCGCTGCAGAACGCTCTTGAAATCGCCGAGGGTGATGCGCTCGGCTGGGACTGGGATCTTCACCAGGTAAGGTGTCTCTTCCTCGTCCAGGTGGTAAATCACCTTCGTCTCCCCAACATTACCGCCCCCCGTGCTGCTGCCCGCCATGGTTTCGCCCGCGCGCTCCTGGGCTCTGCCGCCCACCCAACCGAGCTAAACTCCCCCGCCGCGCCTGCGCAAACCCGCAAACCGACGCGCGAGCACGGAGAAGCCCGGTCCTGTTTGGGAAATGGGCAGAGACCACGGCGTGGGGTACCGGAGTGGCGGCGTGGGCCCGAAGACCGTGGGACGCGACCCAAAGCCACGGACGCCGCCGCCTCGCGCCCCCCCGTCGCCGCTAGCGATCTCCAGGTCCCCGCCCACCTCTCCCCATACCACGTGACTCAGGCCCACCCACCTCACGCAGCCCTAGCTGCCTCATCACGTGATGGTCCCTGATCACGTGACCGCCCCCTCCTTTCCAGCGCCGGCCGCCACGCGATCGCTACGTTAAGCAACGGTCCCCTGGCTACGGACAGCTTCGCCCTGAAGTGTAGCCCCCCGCTAAATACCTCCAGACCACCCTAAAGTGGCCTTAGGGTTGGAGCAACTGGTTCCCACTCTGTTGGAGCCCTAGGGGTGTGGAGACAGAGGCAGCTCTGATCAGCGAGTGCACCCTGGTGTGCAGGGAGCCCATGGGGATTTGTTGGGGTGTCGGGGGTTCGGAACTGGAGGTAGGATAAAGACAGTTAATTGCTGAGATGGGTAAAACCCAGAACTAGGTTATCTTCAGAGTGGACCTGGAAAGGTGGTTTTCACCTCCAGCTCCAGCCAGTTTTCTGCCAGGTTTTCAAAAGCCTCCCTTCCAAGCAAGAGTTAGTAAGGGCTATAAACACCAAAGAGCCCACTCTGCTTTATTTACAACACGTAGGCTGTCTGTACAAACAGGTGGCCAGTATTACCAGAAACAGAAGGTGAAAGAAAATCATCACCTTTTCTGCTTTCCTTCCTCACTTGGCCAGGCTCTGGTCCTCCACCTTTGAGCTGCCTTGCTCAAAAGGCAAGAAGTCCAAAATTAAAAATACAACCGGTGTATAAGAAAATAAATGGGGAGTGAAATAGATGAGGGAAAGGAGTGCTATATTTACACTAGAGTTTTATAGACAACTGTCCTATCCCAATTCAAACCCTGACCCAAAGTGAGGGGTGGCAGGTCCAAGGGAGCCAGATTATGTGTCTACTGGACCCAGAAAGCCTTCCACCCTCAACTGCAATAGGTTCAATTTCAAGTCCACTGGGTGAAGAGGAAGGAAAGGTTAGGAACGCAGACACTCATTTCCAAACAGGTCTCCCTTGGGAATTTCTGCCTTAAAGTGGGGACAATATCCACACTCCGGGTGATAGGCTGAGGACCTTGAGGTTCAGCTCCCAAGTTATGTTGTCATTTGGAAGTTCCAGCCTGGAGATAATGTCAGGGCTCTCCAGATTTGGGAAGCCCCCCTAACCGCCGGGATTCAGGCCGAAGTTCTTTGCATTTCTGGCAATAAAAGAAGTCAGGAACATTGGTCTTCTTAATCTTAGCACAGGAGAGGTGGATCCACGTCCCACATAGGCTGCACTCAATCATGGGGCGCCCTGCAAAGGGCTTTCGGCAGTAACACGTGATCAGATCCCATGAGTCATCACCTGGGGAAAAGAAGGTTTGTTTGATGTTCTGCCTGAACTCTTGGATCTCCAACATTCCCCTCCCCAAACCCACAGTCCCTGCAACCCTAAAGCTCTCACCTGATTCTACCATGATGTCCTCATCCATCACCCGCATCTCGCCTTCACTGGAGCTGGCATCTCCATCTTGGCTTGTTTCAGTGCTACCAACCTCCTTGCCTTCACTGTCTGTGGGAGGGGCTCCTTCAGGGTGTACTACAGCAGGGGGCCTAGGGGCCTCAGGGGGAGTTGGGAGCACAGGAGCTGGGGCTTCACCCCCAGCTACTGGTGCTATTTCTTCCTCCTCCTCCTCCTCCTCTTCCTCTTCCTCCTCCTCTTCAGAGTCTGTATCACTGGGGGGTGCCCGAGGAGGACCAGGAGGTGGGAGTCTATCCCCCCGTTCTGCCTTTTTCAACTTCCGCTTCTTGCTCTTCTTGATCCGAGATCTCTTTTCCCCATCCCCAGGAGCTGGCCGAGGCCTTCGTAGAACCCCAAAACCAGCACCACCTCCTGGCCCCAATTTTCTGTTCTTTCGGTCCTTCTTTCGAGGAGGCTGGGAGAGGTCCCCTTGGGAAAGGGGCACCGGGGTGAGAGCAGCAGGGGGCCGAGAGGTATGTGTTAGGGATGTAGGGGACAGCGGAGATGCCACTTTAGGCCCATCCAAATCAAAGAGAGAGTCCTTGAGCTTCATCTTCTCAAGCAGGGTGGCACTGTCAGGGGCCTGCAGACGAGAGAAAGTGGACCTTGGGGGTCCTGGATGGGTGGGACCTGCTTGAGCTGCCCTTCTTTTGGATGACTTTGCTTTCTTAACAAATGTCTGGATGGTACGAAGATCTGAAGGAGCTGAGTCCCAGCCATCACTGTCTGCTGCACTCTCACCTCGCAATGGAGAGCTGGAGCCAGAGGCTGGCCAGTCACTTTCCTTAAAAAGAGGAAGAGACCACAGTAAGCAGAAACTTAATGTCACCTCAGCCCTCCACAAAAACTCAGCCTGCACAGGGGTTAGATCTAGCCCAAATATCCCACCCCAACCGTGAAATCTCACTGTGCTCAACATTTATCTTCAGTCCAGTTGCCACCAGTTCTCCTCAAGGCTACCTCTGTGCCACTGCTGCTGAGAACGAGGGGGCCCTCCAGGGCTCCCTGCCCTGGCTTCAGAACACTGTATCCCTGCCAGTCCAAAGCTGTATTTCTTTAGCCCTGTTCCTTCACAGCCTCACTTGTTACCATTTTCAGTTCCTTAAAATTTATCCAGAAACATCTTTTATTAACAGCAATCAAGTCCATTCCAAAACCTTGACCAATGCCTCTAGATCTCCCCTATCACTTCTGCCCAAGTCAACATCTACTGTACATTACTCTCTCATCTTACTCCAGCTTTCCCATTACAACTCTTAAAAGCTTCCAATTTCCCTAATACGTATCATTTTAGGCACTGCTCCTCCAAAGTGATAAAATCCTGATTCAAATTAGTTGTTCTCTTGTCCCTACCTCTTTGCTAGGAGGGATATAACCAGCATAAGCCAAAACAAAACTGCAGAATTTGTTGAAATCCTCGATTGTTCTCCGACGTTTCTCTGGTGGCTGAAAGGAAGGAAGCACAGATCACACTGAAGCCAGACACAAATTTAAGAGGGACATCTAAGAAGGAGGGGAGTACTGTCAGGTAGTGATAGGAGCCTGAAAAGGTAAGGGACATCTTACCTGAGTCTCTGGCTTAAGAGTCGGAGGTGGATCTGTGGAAGAAATAAAAGCTTAGTCAAAAGACTAGAAAAAAAACTGTATAAAATCCCACCTTGAAGTCTTGTAGGCCCCAAGCGAACCCCTCCTCTCCGAGGTGTCTCTGCTTGGCCAGCAGGCCCCCAGCTAGGCTGGCCCCGCCCCTGCCCCCCTTCCGCCCCAAGAGGGGCGGAGTCTGGGCGCGGCGCCCTCTCGGGCCTCGCTATAACGCTCCCCTTCCCCCAACCGGAGGCCGGGTGCCCCGCCCCCCCCCACGGCTTCTCCAGTCTACTCGCTCTCTCAGCGCCCCACCCGCCATACCGCTCCCGGGCCGAGCCCGGGCCACCGCCCGCCCCCGTCCTTCACACGCGCCCAGAGCCCGGAGTTCCTACCCCGCCGCGCTCCACCGCCCCAGGCCCTCCGAGATCGCACACGCAGCTCGCCGGCCCCCAGGGTCCAGGATGACCACGCTGAGCCGCTCCCCGCCCTCCGGCCCCTTCTACTCGAGCACGAGGCCAGACGCGCCCCTTACCCCCATCCCAAACACACACGGGCACACACATCCAACGCTACTTCGCGTCCAGGACAGACCTGAGAGCTCCAAACCGGACGCAGCCCCACCTGCCCCCCCACCACACCGCGCTCCCCACAATTTCGCCGTCCCTCCGCCCCCATCCGGGGCTTTGGCCCCTCCCCGTCTAGAGCGCTCCGGCTCCCCGCCGGGCCCCCGGGCCCAGTTCCGAGCTCCACTGCCCGCGGCCGCCGCTCCCCCCCCGCCCCCGTATTCACCAAGTCACCAGGTTACCGACCCCTCAACTCTAGCCCCCTCCCCTCAACCGGCTACTCCCCCGCAGCCCCCCTGCCCACTCACCTTCCGCAACTCCCAGGCTCTAACCCGTGCTGAGCCCCCCAAGTCGCCGGTCTTAACCCCCCCACCCCGCCCCACCGCCCCCTACAACTACCCAGCTCGCCTTGTTTCCCGGCTTTCTTGCCCCACAACTCCGCCCGGGTACCGGTCCCTCCACCACAGACAATACCAGACCCCCTCTTCTCCCCACAACTACCTGCCCACTCTTCCTAACAATCACCGAGCTATCTCTGGCGGCAACTGCTAGGAGCTCCGGCACCACCGTCACAAACTCCCCCACCTCGGGCAACTACCGGGCCTCACTCGGACCTCTGCTACGTCCTCCCTCCTCAACAACTCTCCTGCACCCAGATTCCCCCAACAGCCCAGCTCCAGGGCCCCAACCAGTGTGAGGCCCTTTTGGCCCCTAAACCCCGAAGCTCAGAGTTTCCAGCTCCTACCCCGTGTCCCCCACACACAGTGCCTGATCTCCAACTATCTCAGCCTAGTCTCCTACTCCTTTCTCCAACGTCTCTTAACTAGTCCCTCTTCACCTCCAGTACCAGGCCCCCGACCCCAACCCCGCACTCCCCCGCAGAGCTTGGGGCTCGACCTCCAAGTTTGCCAATTGATTCCTCGCCCGCCTCCCGCCTGCTCTGAGCCGGTCGAGAGCTCACCTTCGGGACTGGGCTCCGCCATGGCTTCCAGCATCGCCCCCTCCCCTCCTCCCGGTCCGGCGTCCCCCTCCCCTAAGCCGGAGATCCTGGTGCTGCCTCTGGTGTTCGGTACTCCAACTGCCTTGGTCCACAGAAGTGTCCGCTTCGACCCGGTTAAGACTTCAGTCCGCTAGCCGCTGCCGCCACCTCCCTCTACCACCACCTCCCGCACTCCCGGACCGGGCCCCCTCCCCCCGCGCCGCCGGCCGCCTGCTCCCTCCTCCTCCCTCCCCCTCCCCCTCCTCCTCTCCTCCCCTCCCCTCCCCTCCCCGGCGCCTACACGCAGTGCACCAAGGGGTTTGTAGTTCCTCCCTGGGCAGCGGAAAGGGGAACGTATTAGTCTCCAGAACCTCAATTCCCAGCAAGCCACGGGGCAGCGCAGGCGCAATAAGCCGATCCCCGCCTCCGGGGAGTGGCGGGGATATCGGGAGAAAAGGGGGTAGGCGGAAGAACGTGCACAGGCTAGTGGGAAATGTAGGCTGGGCGGGACCGAGGAAGAAGGGATTAGAACTCTCGGCCACCATACAGTCTCATTCTGCACCTTATTTCTTCCTCAGGGGAACGCCCCACTTCCGGCCAAGCGGACAAATGATTACTGGGAGATGAAGTTCTCCTGATAATAATGGCTCCCTCCTCCCACTCTTCCTTCCTGGGTTTCCACTCCACAGGCTCCCACATGTGGGGACAAAGTCTGCAAGGGACATACAACTGCAGATAGTTCTTTTACCGCCTCCCACACTCGAACATATCTTACTTAATCCAGAATGACAAACTTGGTTATGTTTATCTAAAACAGATTTTCAAATTTTCTCCATAGGAACTCACATTAAAAAGAAAACTCTTGGGGCTGGGGATTTAGCTCAGCGGCAAAGTGCCTGCCTGGCAAGCACAAGATCGTGAGTTCGGTTCGAGGTACCGGAGAAAAACCAAAAAAAAAAAGAAAAGAAAAAAGAAAACTTTTTCTTTTACATCAGAACCCAATACACTCAATTCCTGGTACCGGAAGAAAAGACAAAAAAAAAAAAAAGAACCCAGTACACATGTACATAAAGCTAGTATTCCATTCATAATAAGTGCACCCTTTTTACGTACAGAAGAAACTGCGCCCCCCGCCCCCAGAAAAAGAGAAGAAACTGCCCATCAACAAAATAAACCAAATATATTTCTATTCCTCCAACCTATACCAGCTCTTTTTTCTTCCACACCACTGAAACCCAGGATACTTTTGAAACTAAAAAAAAAAAAGAGGGGGACAACACAAGCCAAAATTCAGTTCAATTGGTGGTTTCCTCTTTATTGATGTGACTCCTACCTTCCTTCCACAATTTCAATCTCTTCCATTACCCCCCAAGAAAGAAGGTTGTGAAAGGGATTGTTGGGGTTCTGAACACCCTGGACAGTTGGAAAGGGAACAGAAACCAAAACAATCACTGGGTGTGACAGATTGACAATCAAGAAGTCTAAACCACAGTGGGAAAGGATGGTAAAGAAAGGGAAGAAAGGAGAAAAGAGAGGTACAAAAGGCCATGTCCACCATTACCCCTCCTGCTAAGAGGGGCTAGATAGAAAGCCTTAATCTTTAAGAAGTGCAGGTCCTGAAAAAGGGAAGTTGTGTTTGAGCCTGAAGGAGCTGGAGATCAGGGAAGGGGTGCCACCTCTCTCTTTGTAGAATGGAACCTCCCACCTCAGGGGTAGCAGCTTCACAGACCGTAGACACTTTCATCACTGTAGGCAATGTATAGAAAGAAGTCTTCTTCATGGTGTTCCTAAGAGAAAAGCAAAAATGGGGTTTATGCAATAGCCCTCAGTAACTTGAATCACTCACTGTTTAGACTCACCTTCAAAAATCTTTTTTTTTTTTTTAAAAAAAGGCACCCCCCGACAAAGTAACTCACTGACCAGACCCTAGCCCTCCAGTAGTATTTCCCTGTGGCAGTCCTGACCGAATGATCTCCAACTGTTCTCTGACATCTTGGAATAGGAAGAGGGAATGGAAAAAGTCCCCATCGGGACAGTTCCTTCAGCTTACTGGTGTCTTCCTTCTCTCTCATTGTTCTGTCAAAGCAGGCCAGTTGTTCCAAGAACAGCTGACCTAAAACTTTCTCCCAATCAAGCTCTCCCAAGACTCCTCTCCACTATTTCCCAGGCACCATACCTGGTATAGCTGACCCATTGTGGCACTGGTGGGTGGAATAACATTGTTGACAAAGAAAAACAAGGCGTCCTCAGCTCGGAGATGAATTCGCTTCCGGATCAAGAAGTAGAACTGACCAACTGCCAAAGATATAAGGTGCAAGAAAGTCACAGAGGTCATAAACGCCTTCAGAAGATCTGCTGGTAGATGGAGCTCCCCTCACACACACAGAAATGGCACTCCCACTGGAAGCAAATTTGGGTCTTGGGTCAGGTTCCTACCTGTGAGATCAGAAGGCACCAGGTATTTCTTTTTGTCCAGGTCCCCTATCCGAGCTTTGGGAGCCTTTTCTACTATCACCTGATAAAAAGAAAAAGTGAAAGTTGACATATGGAATACAGCCCACAGCTCCACTTGTCAAGAACTCAAGCTACTATAGTCCCACAACTTAAACCAACCCTAGACTCACTTCTTTGTCTCTGTACACGCGGTGCAGCACTAAGTCCAGACATCCTGACCTCACTTGGCTCATCTAAATACCCAGGATCAATCCCTGAAAGGCATGTCATAATAAATAACTATCTTAACCAGAGAAGCCTGATGACTCGTCTAGGCCAACTACAGAGTCAATCTTTTTCTCCGGGGGAGGGTGTGGGTGGGTGGGTGGGTGGGTGTGTGCTGGGAATCAAACTCAGGAGAGGCGCTGTGCCGCTGAGCTATACCCCCGACCTACACAGTCACTCTTAAAAAGCTAGCTAGCTAGCTAGGCAAATGACCACGTATATGACGCTCAGGCTGTCAAAATCTAAGGTCTCCACTCCTGAATGCCAAAGCTTCTCTCTCCCATCCACATCGACTCCCCCCAACTCTACTGCTCTGCCTTCCTTTCAACCCCCAGTCCTAGGCACAACCATTTCAGGAGGACTCCCAGCCCCACTACAGATGGTAGCCGGACTCCCGCGCGTAGGTCCCACATCCAAGCCCAGACTGCGGCGTCAGCGTCCCTTGCCGCGGCCCGAGTTACTGTCCTCACCGGAACCCGGTCCGGGTATTTTTTTCGGATCTTCTCGCCCTCAGAGCGGCGCTTTTCGAACGGATGCTCCTCTTTGTACACGAACTTCATCCTCCCGGGAACCGGGCTGGACCGGGCTAGGCTGAGGGAACCCGGGGAGGGGGGGCCGGGACAGGGGGCGGCGGCGATGGCAGAGACGCGCGGGCGGACTCAGCGGAGCGATCCACGAATTTGCGCCACTTCCCTATTCACCAACCCCGCCCTCCCCCATCCCGGCTGCCCCGCCTGCTAAGATACGCCACTAGCCCAGCAAGTAACGCCACTATCGTGGCACCACCCACTGTCCGCCTGCCTCACGCCATTAGCGTAATCGCTTTGGAATCAACTTGTAGGCTGCGCAGGCAACGTAGCAAAGGTAGTTGGCTTTTGTTATGCGAAAATAACTGAAAATAACTGAAAACTCTTTCCCGATCTCCCCGCGCGCCTGCAAGAAGGCGGAGATGAAAAGGGGTAGATGATAATCATGACACCTGGTTCTCCAGAAGTTCTTCTCGGAAATAACGTAGAGCTGAAACAATTACAGGCTATTCACGAAACGTGTTGCTACGCTGCAAGCGGCTGTTGACACCAAAACAAAGTAGTACCCAAAGGATAGAAATGGACTCAAAATAAGAGGGAAGAGAGAAAATAGATATTTAGACAGATAGAACGCTTATTATTCAAAAATGAACGGACCAATAGGGACTGGAGATAAGGTCGATCGGAAGGGACTAGACCATCGCGGAGGAACACGACCAGGATTTGTAGCAGTGAAATCATGTGATCTCTGAAAAGGGCGGAGCGTCACGTGGCGAGGGTGAGGAAGTAGAACCGGTCCCAGAAGGCGGGACCGCAGAGGGAGCGGGGCGGGGGGGGGAGGGGGGACGTCAGCCCCGCCCCGCCCCGCCCCGCCCCGCGAGGCTGGGATGTCGGCCGCCTAGGGGCAGAGCCCTTTCACAGTCCACGTCAGTGCCTGCATGAAACCCAGCCTTCTCGCGTATAGGCCCTTTGTGGCGTCCAGATTTCTCCCATTCTACATCCTACTGCTCTGATGCTGTCCTTCTAAAGCAGTGTCCTCCCCAGGGCATTCATCCTGTCACTCAGGACCCATCCCATTAAACACCTGGTGTCAGCCGTTCACTTCTCCGAGTCCCTACTCAACACCACGTTTTCTCCTCCTCCCAACAGCAATATTCCCGTCTCAGGGACAGGTTGGACTGTGAACAAAGTCCCCTCCATTTCCCAATACCCAAGAGAAGGACCTAGGGCAGCTTTGGTTTCAAAGTTATAATGCATGGTTTAAAAGAGAGGAAAGAAAGAAAAAAAAAAAAAGCTGGTTACAGGCCTGAGGGAATCTAAGGAGAGAAAAACAGAGGGAAAGTAAGGGAAGGAGAAGTTTGGGGAAGATCCAGTGGCCCAAAATCCCAATCTCCCACCCACAACCCAGCCCTTGGAGCAGGAGTGAAGAATTTAGATCAGTTTTGTACGAGAGTTTTTAAAAAATCAAATCACAACAAAGCTGACTTGGCTTCTCTTTGAGCCTCCCGGATCACTGTCCACTTTATGTGTCTCTCACTCCGGCCAGTCCTGCCTCCACCAGACACTGTTTCGGCTGTCCATGGCCTCCGCCTGTCCCAGTCTGAGGTTTCCATGGAGTGTGAACACGAAGTTAGTGAGGCTGCTTCACAGTCTGGCCCATGTGTCCATCCAGACTCCAAGTGGAGTGTAGGGCTCCCAGGGCAGAGAGGGTTGGAAGGGGCACACCCTGCCCAAGCAGTCCTCACATTGGACAGGGCATCAGCCAGCATCCCAAGGGCTCACCCTCCCTTTCCCCCCCACCCCAACTCAGGTGGAGGGGGAGCAGCTGTCACCAGAGCCTATGTTGGTGAAGGTTTCGGCTCAGCACGGAACGAACGTCAGCGGTGAACCTGGGATGACAATAATGTGCATTGGTGGAGTACCTTGTAGTTGACATGTTCACAGCACTAGCACACAGCAGGCCTCACTGGAGATGTGGGGCAGCATTTATCACCACTTTCACATGATGACATAAGTTCAGTGTGACCAAAACCCAATGGCTAGAAGTGATGGTCCAAAGTCTAAGTTCTCAAGGGAAGAGAGGTCAATAAGATAAACAGGACAAACATTTTTATTCTCTTGGGATCCCTCCACAACAACCTTTCCTCAGAAATCCAAGAGCCCGATTCCCTTACCTGAGGGCATCCAACATTGGGAGCAGGTTGAGAAGGGCTGTGTCACTGGGGTCACTGAACCAGGATTTGATGGGGATGGCATTGTCTAAGGTGGGTGAAAATACATATAGGAAGAAACAAAGGAATCAAGAGCACCTGGGGTTTTTACATGATATTTCTTTACTTAAAAATCTTTTCCTTCCAAACTAAGCACTGTGGTGTATGCCAATAATTCCAACACTCAGGAAGCTGAGGCAGGAGGACTGCTCTGAGTTTAAGGTCAGCCAGCCTGCACTACATAGCGAGTTCAAGGCTAGCCTGAGTTACATGATGATACCCTATTTCAAGACACTAAAAACAAAAACACCTTTCTGTTCTATCTCCAACAATCTCAGTAAACAACCTCCTGATTTATCTTCACAAGAGTATAATCAAATATTAATCACCAGATCTCATACTAGTTTGAAGCTTCTAATCAAACTTACTATTACTGTGCCTCACTTGAAACATATTTAATATAGGGTGTCTCATTCAGAAAATGGGGGTGTGTCTCATTTGAAACAGAAACAACTTGTACTTGGGCCTACAGTACACAAGCTCTCAAGAACCAAGGCCCGTGTCTTCTGCCTCCTACTTCCCTACATTCAAAATATATCCTCAGGGGGCTGGGGATTTAGCTCAGTGGCAAAGCGCCTGCCTGGCAAGCGCAAGGTCGTGAGTTCGGTTCCCGGTACCGGAGAAAAACCAAAAAAAAAATATATATATATATATCCTTAGGGATCTGGGGATAGGGCTCAGAGATAGAACACTTGCCTAGCATGCATGAGGCCCTGGATTCCATCCCAATCACCACCCCAAAACCCCTCCACAGACCATATCCTGGTCCTGCCAGACTCACCACCTTTCCCCATACCTGGGTGGCTCCTGTATGCCCCTGGGGAGTTATCCAGAATCACAATGCTGGAGAGGTCACTGTGGACCACAGAGAGGTCCTTGATGTAACTGCCCAATTCCAAAGTGCAGTGCTGGAAGGCAGGGGATTATGCAGTACACCTCCTCCATGCCTCCTCACACCCCTACCAGGCCAATTACCGCAAACCCAGAAACTTCCCTGGTGGCCTGTCTCCCAAACCTCACTCTAGACCTGGATTCGGTCCCCTTACCTGTCTGTAGTATCTTCTCTTGAGAATGCTTCTGCTATTATCCAATTTATCTGCTACTGCAGAGCCATAAATCTCCATGCTTGCTGTAAACACCACCAGCTCATACCACTGGCTCACCTGAAATAGATTGGGGATTCGAGAGGTGTCAGAGAAACTGATCATTCATTTAGCACAGAGTTCTCTTTCAACCTAGTCTTTCAGGCCTTCCAGCAACATCAAAAGTCTCTGGGTACACAAAATTCTGCACCCCCTCCCAAGCCTTCACACTCAGTGTCTGAGGAATCCTACACTCTTCAGGTACAGAAATGGAAACACAAAAGACCAAAAAATAGAATGACATCAGTACCACAAATGAACCCTGTCTACTCAAAATCATTCCCTGTATTCCTACATCCTCCCCTTCTCCAAATCTACCACCACTCACTTCTCACCCCTTCTAAATCCCTTAAATTCCCAGAGCCCTATATCCAGTCCTTCATCACACCATTTACACACTCACCACTTCTGGTTTTGTTTTTTTGTATGTTTTTGTTTTGTTTTGTTTTTTCCGGTACCGGGAATTGAACTCATGACCTTGCACTTGCCAGGCAGGCACTGTGCCACTGAGCTAAATCCCCAGCCCCACACTCACCACTTCTAAGAAGAAATCCACATGTGGCCTCTTATGTACAAAAAACCGGACAGGATGTTTGTCTATCACCACCTACAGAGGAACAGGGAAAGACTGGGGGAAGACCTGGGCACCAGGACACAGGCCCAGAGAATACCCTAACCCCGAAGGGCTCCTGCTGTCCTTCAGGCTGACACTAGTGCCAGAGCTTGAGAACTAGATGCTCTAGGAGTGGGAAGGGGAGCCCAAAACTGGACATAATAACAGATGTACCATCTTATCTCACCCATGCACCTTAAGGATGAAGTCAGGAGGTGTCCCAGGACGCACAGTGGGCCTCAGGACCCCATCATGATGCGAGTGAATAAGTGTCTCATCCAGATCCAGCACCAAGATCTTCCTTTTCACCTGGGCTGAACCACAATGGGAAGGGATAGCATGAACTGATCTCCAGACAAAGCCAGAACCCTACCTCAACTTCAAGGAGTCTTCCCAGGCAGCATACTCACCTAGCCGATTCCGGGACACAGGAGACAAGGGGAGAATATCATATCGAACAGTTTGGTATTGAATTACCTAAAGATAGCAAAAAAGAGGATTAAAACTCTTGACAATGAAATCTTCCCCAATAACTATAGCAGGTAACAAATATTGAACACTTACTATATACTGGGCACTATATGATTTAAGATTTTTCATTTAATCCCTAAAACAATCCTAATAGGACTGGAGGAAAAATCAGTGATAGAGCACTTGCCTAGCATATATGAAGCCTTGGGTTCAATCCCCAGCACTACTAAAACAAAACAAATAATAATAACAATAAAATAATAGTAACAACAACACTATGATTATCCCTGTTTTACAGATAAAGAAACCAAAGCTTGATGGGATAAAATACCTTAACCTGAGTCCATACAACTGGACTTATCTTATTTATTCATCTCCCCAATTAAAATAAAGACTTTATGAGAGCATGAATTTTGTTTTTGTTTTTGTTTTTGTTTTTTTTTGGTTTTTTTTCTCCGGTACCGGGAACCGAACTCACGACCTTGCGCTTGCCAGGCAGGCGCTTTTGCCGCTGAGCTAAATCCCCAGCCCCGAGAGCATGAATTTTGTCTCCATAGTGCTTTTCCCACTGCCTATGACATTACAGCAAGGGCAGTCAACTAATATTAGTAGACTCAATAAAGTGGTATAGCCAGGATTATTCCCTTGCAAGTTGATGCTAGAACCTGCCCTCTTAGCCATGCCATTATCTTGCTATGCTGAATAAAGACATACATGGGTCCCCCTCTTCACCTCTAGGATTCTTTGTGGCAACTCCCATAATGCTTCTTTTGGGAAACAAAAGCCTTACACTCTTGGTAGAAAGGCAATAGGAATCAAGAGAGGAGATCCTTGGATCACTAAGGGAGAATAGAGAATGAGGGAATCCAGAGGTTGTCAGGTCATTTAAGTTCTTCTGGCTGAGGGCCACCAGGCCTATTTTAACCAGCCACCTGTCCACTTGTGTCTCTGCTAGCCAAGTCACAAGTTGCAGAGAACCTCAGCCCTCTGAACAACCTCCTTACTATGCTGGTACCCAGGGCAAAGCACAGAACACCAGAAAGTGCCACCTGCTAGGGTGACAGACAGGACACAGAGAAAGCCATAGTGAAGTAAGGACTATGAGAGGTAAAGAAGGGCCAAGGACACGCACCAACCTCAGCCTTCTAATTCTGCTTCTCTAAGTATTCTCTAAAAGCTATTTCCTAACACTCAGATCTCTCCACACAAAGCCAGGTTCATCTCCTCTTTTATTCTAAGGTACAAACACTCTTCACTCTATGCCTAGGTCCGAAACCACATCAGACACTGGCTCCCCCTTCGCAAACAAAAGGACTTTCTCCCTCTTTTCCCAAGACATCTTGCCCTTCTGTTCTCCCTGGGCCATGATGGGGGTTGCAATGAGGACTGAAACAGCTCGGGTGTCCTGCCCTGCTATCTCGGGTTGCATATGCTGGGCATGTAGGGAATGCTCCAAGCATCTGCCAGAAAGGGAGTGGGGGAGGAAACCACATCGGAAAGGAAGAGAGGACAAAAGGCTGTGGGGTCAGTGCTGCCAAAGGAGAGCAATTCTGGAAGTAACCAATCTTCCAGTAGATGGACTGGAACATTACTCTCTACACCCAGAAAACTGATGTAGTAAGGGATAAGGGGAGAGTCTCAGAACAAGGTCAGACAGAGAAGGCAACAATCAACACAAAGTAAAGGCCAAAAGCTCACCCCACACTCATCTCAGCCTCTCTGACCCCGAATTCTTGGCTCCTAGCTTTCCGATCTCAGGGAAATAGCCCTGCCCACAACCACCACCACGGAGAACAGTCCTCACCCTAATCCAGGAAGTTGAAGGATCAGACTGGTAGAGAAGAGAATGAACCCAAAGGCAGGCCATTCCCTCCCTCAAACCAATTAAGTCAACCACTACTACCACCTAGGTCTTTCTAGGTATTCTCTTGACCTATGCTGCCCATACTTGGTTTTACTCTTTCAGATAACACTGAATCATTCCAAAGAGTACAGACCTCTATGTCCCAGATCACTCAACTTTTCTCAGATCCTTTCAGAGGATCCACCCCAGTGGTGATGACAAAACAAGACTACATTCATTATGTTACTGCATGTTAGCAGAAAGAGCTTGACCTTGGATAAAAGATCCAGGAAGGGAACCCAGAGGTGCCTGGGTTCACCCAAAAGTCTCCACTTCCCATGATATCCTTTCACAATGCTAGATTCCCCTGGAGAAACCAGCGCCCCTTCAGATGCAAACCTCTGCAACTGACTGGCTCTGTCTTCTAACAGAGATACTTTAAAGTGCTGTCTCCCACAACTAAAAATGCCCATCATAAAAGCACTTTAGTCTTAGGGTCTCCAAATATCCATACATCCACACTTACACTATGAAACCAGTTTCTAGGACCTTTTTTGAGGAGTTCCATTGATGAGGTTTTCCCAAGTTCCCATCCATGTTTATCACCTATGCCCTCCTATCCACTCCCAACCTTGACACAGAAGTCTGTGTCTCCAAGACTAAGCACACCCAGAGGTTCCAGTAGTAGGGTCTTTCACGAACCCACATCAACAGATCTGGCTGCCAGCAAACAGGTGTTCCCTGCCTCTCAGTTTCTTTAGCAACAACTCCAGCTTTCTTAATAATGCCCCACCCACCACGTTAGCCCCCAAAAGTTGCCTAATTCTGTCCCATCTAGGCCCAATTACCCCCTCCCCCGATCTTAATTCTATTATAAGCGTTCTCCTCCTCCTTGTCCCACGCCCCACTCAGGGTACCCTAATTCTGTAGCAGAAAAGACCCCCACCAGGACTTCTTCCCTAGGCCTGAAGGCAGAATACTTTCCGAAACCCAAGAGCACCGCGGACAGAGGTCCCCACGACCGCCAGCGCCCACCCAGGCTCACCGTGCGGATCTGCCTCCGCAAAAGGTAAATGAAGAAGCTCCACAGCTTGGCGGCGAAGGCCACGAACGTACGCAGCCCCAGCAGACACTGTGTCCGCATCATCCCGATGACCCCGGCACCGCCGGCCCCGGGGCCCCCGCGGCCCAGCTCCGCCAGCCCCCCGGGGGCAGCCCCCCGCCTCCGGGAGGGGGAACGGGGGCCCCGAGTGGCAGTAGAGGCTGCAGAGGGCACGGAGCGGGCGGCTCAGAAAGCCACCCCTGGCGAGGGGAAAGCCCAGCGGAACGGGGAGCTGGGGGACAGGCGTGGGCAGCCCGCGGGGGCCGACATGGACGGGGAGTGGCACAGACGGTTTCGCGAAGGTTGCAGGCTGAGACAGGTCGGGATAGGACGGGGTCCTCCGAGACCAGGAGGGAAGGGGATGGAGAATTGGGGGAGGGGGT